CAAAAAAAAAAAAAAAAACCAAATGAAATAAATATTCATTATGTTCCACAGAAAACATACTAAATAATGTGTACTTCAAATAAATTTTCTTGGAATTCCTAAATACTTGTGGCTAATTATGAGAAAAATATTTTTCAGTATCTCTACTGAAATATTAGCTTTAATTATTAATTTTCTGTCTGTTCCTTTAACCAATCAAGGGTCAACAAATGCACATTTAAAATTACTACTTTGGATCTTTAAAAATTACTTTCATAATTTAAAATTTCAAATATAACTCATTAAAAAACAAGCACAAAACAAAATTTGGTTTTATTCCTCTAACCTTTAAGTTAGTTTATTATTTCTTCCAATAGAATGCTGAACTATACTATTTGAGTGAATAGCAAGTACTACAGGATGTTTAAATCAAGTTTAAAATGAGAAAGCTAAGCAGTTTCCAAAATATTTTGTATATGGTTACCATATTTATGACTTGTTTTACTAATGTGCTGCCAATTTTATATAATACATCAATTATGTGGCCTCACAGAACATGAAACAATTTACAAATTGTTCTCTGTGTTATAAGACCAACAGGTTCATATGTCCACTACATAGTAACAGTCCTGTTACACATATAGCAGCGATGCAGCTGAGGAAAAGTTTAATGATCAGCAGGGTATGGAGTTACGAGGTGGGGAGGAGACCCTCAAATCCATCTTTTGGAGGAGTTCCGGGCTGGGGGTTTTTAAGAGGATTGTAGAGGATGAGGTGCCGGATAATTGGAGTTGTTGATTGGTCAGGGCAAGGTTGATGGTCCTTGAAAATCATCAGGATATAGAAACTGCATTTTTTGGTGAGGCAGCTTCTTGTGGGGTCCTTCAGACCAGTTGACGTCAGTGGGGTCCTTCAGATCAGGTGATTGACAGTAGTTTCGCTGGTATGAAAGACCTGAAAAAATATCTCAAAGGGAAAACAACATTTCATAATGTTCAAGTTGTTATCTACAGAGCAGTTAAGGGGAATGATGATGTTGCAACAAGGTCTACGTGATTCTAGGAAAATAGGCCAAAAACACCTATTGAAGAAGGAGGCCAGAGAGCAGCCTGACTTACAAAGTAATGCTAAATGTGCTGCAAGCTTGGTATATTTTTGTTTCTCCCCCTCTCTTCTTCTGTGATTAATTTTATAAGGTAATAGTGGTGGTTTCATCTGTACCATTTTGAAATGTGGAATACAGTATGTTAAACTGCATTTTATCTAGGAACAGTCACTAAAATGTAATTGTTTCAAAAATTCTTTAATATGAAGTGGATATGATTTTACTGGAGTTATTGAACTTAATCTTGTAGATTCCAAACTGATAATGAAGAGTTATGGGCTTAATAACAAATTAATGAGGTTAGATAAGATTAGGGGAGGAGTTGTTTTCTAATACTCCGCCCATATTTGAGTAAAAGGAATCATTGTGATGATACTAACTTAAACCCTGATATCCACATCTATTTCCCTAATAATAATCGATGTAGTAATTACAAATGAATTTTATCTGAGTATCTAGATAAGGAATTCTTTGGGTTTGTGCATATTGAGCCAATTAAACGAATGCTAATTTGTTGACATGTTTAACAGGAGAAAAGGTAGAAGGAGCAAGAGAAGCAAATCTCAAAAGGGAAAATGTTTAGCTCTCAGAAAAAAAAAAGGAGGGAGCTATAAAAAGAAAAAAACTAAATGGTGAAGGGAGAGGTTTAAGTCTAGAATTACGACATTTAGTAAAAACTAGCTCTTCTAAAATACTGATTATTCTCAATGAACCCTAGTAATCAATTAAATCTAATGGGTTTTATATATATGAATAAGCCTTTTATTGATCTCTGAAAGGTTCAGTGTTACCAGCATGGCACACACTTATTGTCATTTATTGTTTTAAACATGTATGTGGAAAGCCATTCTAAAATTTATAAAAGTCAATAATAATACTTACAAATCTCATAACTCTAGGCTCTTGTACAAACATTTATATCTTTATATGTGGTCACTGAAGAAAATATAAAGGCAAAAAAATGTTGATAAAATAGTCAAAGTCACAGAACTTTTGAAATACCTGAAATTTTAATAGAGTTGAGAGACATAGGTGACTGCTTCAAGTAATCCGCAGAAACAAAAATGCATTTTTAGTAATTTTTCAGTTGAAGAGAGAATATTGATTGGATTAAAGGGGAAAACAGTTTCCTAAACTCTTAGAGCTCAATTAGGGAGAAATATTTGCATCACTGTATAACAAATCTTGCATTGCTCAGGAAGACCAAACTTTGAAGTTATAATCGCTTGCTAAATGTGACAGTTAGTTTGGTATTATGAGTTAATCAAGCTTTAAGCCAAAGATTCTTAACCTGGATCCTGTAGATGAACTTCGGGAGGTCAGCAATCCATCAGAAAATATATGTAATATGTTTGTCTATATGCAGTTTTCTGTGGACAATCTATAGCATTTCTCAGATTCTGAAAGGGATCCAGAACTAAACACTATTAACAACTACTGGTTTAAATAATTTTTATTATTTGAATATTATTCTTTTAAATTGTATATTAAGATGATGAAGTTGTTACTATCACTTGCATTTTGACAATTAAAATAGTTACTTTCCTTTTTGTTTCAAAGGACAACGAAGATGAATCATCAGACAATGATGAAGTCTTTCATTCGATTCAGGCTGAAGTCCAAATAGAACCATTGCAGCCATGCATTTCAAATCCTAAAATAATTGAGGTAAATTTTTCAATATGAGTTGCTGTGACATTAGTAAGAATGTAGAACAGTGGTTCTTAAAATTTTGATCTCAGTGTCCCCTTATACTCTTAAACATTGAGGATCTCAAAAAGCTTCGTTTATTACATGGATTGTGTCATTTGATATTTAACTTATTAAGTTAAAACTGAAAAACATTAAAAATATTAATTCACTTAAAAGTAATGAAACTATTACATGTTAACATAAGAAACACATTTTTTTTTTTTTTTTTTTTTTT